TAAAACCATACATGTAATCAATAATTTTCAAGCGATCAGAGGGACGTAGGAAAGGGGCGTATATAGGGGCGTGCCTCCATAGATGGATTCAGGAATGTTTACAATACTTGCATAGCGATTTCCTCAAATCTAAGGAACTCCTTCAATGATAGTCTATCATATACTGATATATGGAAACATCTCCCAAAAAAGCTGGGGAGAAAAAGATACTCGTAAAAGAATGTAACCAGAAAAATTCCCTATTATCTCTCTAGGGAACTGGCCGAATTTTCCAGTTTCCCATTTTTATATCTATTCCTCAATATTTGAGGCTTTTTGGTATATTTTAGTATTTTTTGCAGTATTTTTTATCAATTATTAAATAGAACTTAAAATCATTATAAATACAACAAAATTTTGTAAGATCCTTAAGTATTTTTCAGTATATTTTAGCATTTGGTGCTAATACCTTTTAGTATTTGGTGGTGTTTTTAGTATTTTGTGATATTTGTAGTATAATTTTAATATTTTGTATTTTTAAAGAGCCACTCTTGACGCCACACGTTGGTAAATGGACCTTTCGCCATTATCAGTAGCTGTTTATTTAGTGGTATTTTCATTCTGTTTGTATTTTTAGTGTACTTATGGGAGCTCCCATCATCCCATAATATCTAGCATCAGCCCAAAGAAACTACGTGTGTCTCTGCCATTGAGATAGTACCCTGCAAAAAGTGCATTTAAGCAAACATTGTGCTGACCTGAAACGAGGTTGTCGGTGGATATGATGGCTTTGCTTTTGTTTGAAGTTTTCCGCTATACGGTTTTCGCCATTTCGCTGGCATTGTCTGCCCTGTCCTCCATTTGGCAGACTTTCAAAAACTGCCAGCATCGACTACGACGAGTACTCGCGTAAGTTGCAGAGACACATCATGCAACAGCGACAGCGACAGGGACAGGGACAGCGACAGCGGGACAGGCGCACGGACCCCAGAAAGCTCCAGTGTCCGACACAGACACAAATACAGACTGAAAGGAAGAGCCAGAACTATGGCCATAGTGGCGCCTAAAAATTCAGAGCGGAGCGGGACAGCCGAAAAAATGGCCGACAAAATGGCGTCAACGTGGGGGGGTGGCGGTGCAATGGCAGTGCGGGTCAACGCTGTTGAAGCCATTTCAAGGTACGATTTTAAGGCAGTTGAAGGGATCTTTGGAGTAGAGAAAAATGTCCCCCCCTCCCATCACCGCAAAAGAATTTCCTTATTTTATAAGAAACGAAGAAAAGACCTTGAATTAATATATTTTTTTTCCCCTTCTCCCTGCCACCACCCACCTTAAAGAGCAAGGCTAACGAGCCATAGGGATAGGAAAAGAGGAAGAGTGGAAAGAGAGGATCAAAAATAAAGACTTGGAATTATTACAGTTTTCCGTGGCTCATCCTCCCATCTCTCCCCTCACCACTCTTCATGCAAACACAAATTCGTATTGCCGCTCTTAGATCCTCTCGGCAAAGCTGCACTCTTAACTTGTTGCCCTGCTTCAGGGCATTGCACTGCTTTCACTACACCTGCAGAGAAGGGAGATTTAAAGATGAGAACTCATAAATAAGCTAAGCTGACTTGCGTCATCCACGCACTCCCCGTCGCCCAGGCAGGCAAAAACAATAACGATGCATACGCCAAAGAAGAAACAACAATTCCCGCAAACACTCATACATACAATGCAAAAGCAAAGCCGCTCTCAGCGAAGGTGTTGCGCTCTTAAGTTTTCGCCTCCCTTTCAGGGTATTGCCCCTGCACACACAACACATGCAAGAGGTAGAGAGGATCAGCAATAAGAATAATCTACACACCTCTTCTATGCTGATGAGGTCATCTATGCGCTCTCTCCCTCTACCCTTCAAAGCAACAGCCAACACCACACATAAAAGCAAAGCCGCTCTCGAATTTTCTCAGAGAGTGCGTTCACCTTGAATTGACCGAATGCTGCGGGAAGAGCGCTCGTCGCAGACGCATTTTTTTTGCAACGTGAAGCTAAAATTGCGGAAAAATAGTGGAAAAAGTGCGGAAAATTATGTAAAAACCCGTGTGATAAGTGTAGAAAGGGTTTGCAAAGAAAATCTGCAGGAAAAGTGGTGAAAAATGTTGTGAAAAGCCAGAAAAGTGATGAAAAGTGGTGGAAAAAGGCAGAAAATGCAATTCCATGTGTATCGAGAGCCAAAGGATAAGAAACAATTAAAAAAGATCACTGCAAGTGCGCAAATAATCAATTTCAATGTTTTTTTTCTTCGTGAAAAAAAGGTCCGAAAAAATTCAATTGCGTCGCAGTTTTAGCGCTGCTTCCAGCGCTCGTTTCCAGCTATGGGAATTTGAGCGGAAAGAAGACGATGCAAAACAACGGCATCATGGCGCGTCTTTTCGTTTGAGTATTTTTTTGTTGAGTTTTTTTTTTGCTTTTTTCTGCTGTGAAAGTGAGTGTAAGGAGTAGGATGCCAAGCAGTGCAAAAAGTGAGTGAAAGTATTAAAGTGAGATCAAATTAACGAAAATTTACCGCTAGAACTGTATAAAGAGCGTAAATAGGAGTACGTCTGGCATTTCCCTCAAGAAAAATGCTTTAGAAGAGAGCCGCAAAAGGGAGAATATCAGCAGCCATGAGCGGCAAGAAGACGGTGGATGGCAGACGGTCTGTCAGCTTGATTAGTTTTTTGTTGAGCTTTTTTTTTTTGCTTTTTTTCGGTTAAAGTGAGTGCAAGTGCAGGATGGTCAATAAAAGCCTTCCTCAATTGGATTCCCACTCAAGATTTCTAGTATGTACCTTGTTTCTAATTACTAAAGTTTCACACACATTTTTATACATATTTACAAATGCACACTTTGTTTAGCGAACATCTCCAAATGATTGTACAAAACACTCCAAATTGTATTTTCATTTGATGAATTAACTTTAATAGGACTAATTTGCATTGTTCTATGTACTCTGCTCTCTTGTTTTATTTGCCAATTAAATTTGTATATACGCGTGTTTCAAACCATTTATATGCCATTGAATGTTCCACTAAAACTGAATTCACGCCGCATTAACTCTTAAATCGTTCAACAATTGAGGCATTTAAAGTGCTAAATGTTGAATAATGATTGATTTTGAAACGTTTTGTTAATGCATTAAAGTGTTAATTAAAAAAAATTGTGTGGCATCATCCGTTTGTAGATTCTTTGGCACATCACGTCGTGATTTTAATCGTTTTTTAATCGCCGTTGCCTGGACAACATTTTTAGCGTTTTTTGATTGTAGTGCAAATTTCGAAAATGTTAAAAAAAAAGGATAACCTGATGCATAGACCCGCCCCATTTCAAGGAAATTCGCTTGCCATAAATCCTTTATACTCCACGAAGCATCGTTGAAAATTCTTGCGTGATGGATGGACCATGTTATTCATTAACTGTATCTCTCCCACACACTCGCTCTCTCTCTCTCTCTCTCTGTCTCTCCAGAGGAACACGCCCAACGCGCGCTCTCTTCTGTTGTCCCTTTCGATCCTCTCTGAGCGAGTCGCCTCTCTCGCTATGCGCTCTCTCACTAACATCCACACAGCAATAGAACAGACAGCGAACAGAGGAATAAGCATGCACAGCAATCGGACAGGCAGTGGACGAGAACAAACGGTAAATCCTAAGGAAAGCAACGGAAGACAAAACTGCGAACAATCTGGTGGCGAATTTTTGGACAGCGAACAGACAAAAGTACACTGAGAATAGTTTTAGGAAACGACATGCCTATTAATATATGTATAATCTGTGCCTCTCGCAGCTCTTATATTATTCAAATAGTTTCATTATTATGATAAGTTTTGCCAGCGGCTTTCGAGGCCAATAAAAGCGGCAGTAAAGCGCTGAAAACCTCTGAACCTTCTTTTGCATGCGGAAAGTGTATTTTTGAGTATTATAATATTAGTACCATTTAATTTCCATCATATCCACCAAATGCACTCCCTCAACTATTATCTATTTATCAGATCTGTTTTGGATGGAATGGAGAGCCCTCTTTATCTCTCGTGTCTCCATCGAGCATTTCGATTCTTTTATTTCTCGCAATTTCCTTTTGCAGCAGCCCGCCTGCTGCTGCTGCTGCTGCTGGCTCTCTGTCTCTGTCTCTGCCTCTGCCTCTGCCGCTGATTGAATTTCCCGAATGCCTTGAATGCCGCTGGCTGCATATGTTGCCACTTGCCGGCTTTTGCCTCCTGCCTCTTGCCTGCTGCCTGCTCCTGTGGCAATAAGAAGAAGTTTATTGAAAGCGACTCTGACACACTCTCCGTCGTCCGCCCCCCCCCCCTGCATTTGCATAGCGAGTGGAGCAGTGGGGGGCGAGGGGGGAGTGGCACGAATGCCGGGCGAAATTTACCCAGATTTATGTTAATTTATTGAATTTAATTTGATTTTTTTCGCACTCGCACTCTCTCGAACGCTCTCTCGAAACGATACTCGACTCGTATGTTGTGTGTTGCATGTGGCATGTGGCATGGGGCATGTGGCATGCGGCATGGGGGGGAAATTCAATCAAGTTTTGTGCATAAATTACACCTTTTTGGCACCAAAAAAAAAAAAGAAAAGAAAAAAAGGTAAAGGCCTCAACGCAGAATAACAACAATAAGGCGGCCATTTGTTGCTGCCAAATTTTATTTTATTTTTCATAATGGCAAAAGTTTTTGTGAGTGCTTCTCACAGGATACCCGCTCGTATTTGTAGGTCAAAGGAGGGTCCTCCGAGGTCAGGTCGTTAAAATGGAAGAACCAAAGCCCCCCCCCGCCCCCGCTCCAAGAAAAAAAGGTGCTGCCTCTTCTCCTGCTCCCTGGGTCCCTGTATTCATTAAGTAATTGGGCGGCAGGTGAGAGAAAACCCGAAGCGGAGATCCATGACCGGGACGGGGTCGGGGACGGGGTCGGGGCAGGGTTCTTTTGCGGGCTACTGCGGCTTGTGGCATAAATTATTTGTGCTCTAATTTAATTATCATTTAATTTGTCGCTCGACTATTCGTGTTCCCTCTGCCAGAGGTAAGACTGTAGTTGCTTTATTTCCGTTTGCTGGACAAAGTAAACGACGGCCAAGCCGATCACGAGGTTAAGCCGCAGTTTCCACTGCCCCAAAGCGGTATTTAATGTGACAAAACATGTCCTTTTTCCTATTCTCCGAGAGAGGAAACAAATGGAAATTCGTTGATGATCGAAAACGCAGATTTGCGATTGGAACTGCAAGAGAAAAATAATAGTTTTAAGGGGAATAAAGAGTGGAACAATACTTGCCATTATATCAAGAATATCCTCCCCAAAGGGGACTTTCCTCTCCTTAAAGGGGGGGATTCTACTTTCTTGCCAGCAATGGCCAATCAATGATTGATACTCGCACTGCTGCAGGTGTGCGGCAGCCAGGAGGAGCAGCCACAAGGCCAGATGCCAGGCCAACAGATACATGGACTCGCGTAGCAGCTGCTCCGGAGAGGTCAGATCCTGTAGATTTTTGCCATTCCAAGCCGCCTCATCCTCGAGATCGTCGCGACTCTTTTGCTGCTGCAACACCTGCGTCGCATCGAAGCGCAGGAGACGCGCAAAGGCCACAATGCGAATGGCAATGAGACACACAAAGCAATCGTAGGTTACCCTGAAGTAGAGGCCCGCCAGGAGATTGAGTTTCCTTTGCAGGGGATACAGCATCCTGAGGAGCAGCTGAAAGCCCTTTAGGTTCCTATCCAGGCGGAGATTCTGCAGGGACTGGAGCCAGCCGGCGTGCAGCAGGTGATAGAGGATGTGCAGGGCTATCAGCAGGACGAATATGAGTTGCGGCACGCCCATCAGATAGTTCGCGATGTTGTGCATATCGTTGGCCGTCAAGACCCTTCTCTGGGCATGTTCTATGAGCGGAAAATCCAGCCAGAAGGTCTTGTATCCCATGAGGCAGAGCAGCAGCAGCAGGGCTCCGCCGTAGACGAGCGCCTGCCAGGAGCATTCCAGGATCAAGTGCCTGCCCAGAAGGGTCTTCAGTTGCTTGTACGACATCTGTGATTGATTGACCAGCTGCCAGAGGGACTTGTGCCTAATCAACGACCATATCATGGCCGCGAGATACATGAGGCTCTGCAGATACTCGCATCTCACGGAGAATCCATCTGTCGGGGGCCGCGAATCAGTCTCCAGGGAATTCATGAGCGCGTTTTCCATTTCCAAGCGTTGGCGCGCCATTTGATGCAGCAGCAGGATGCATGCAACAAAGAGGCATGGAATGTATCTGCAGCAGTTGTATCTATGGGTGTACAGACGCCGGGATCTGCTGAAACGCAGCTGCAGAAAGCCCAGCGAGTGGAAAAGAAACCGAAATACTTTGAGCGCTTTCCAGAGCCACTGAATGCGTGACATTTCGAACGATGACTGGGGAAGACTCGGAAGTGGCGCCACCGAAAGAGTGCGATGGGTAATTGCTAATCAAGTGAATGCATTCATTGTTTATTCACTCGAATTCGTCATAGAAATAGAAGCGATAGACCTGGCTAATTGTCTGCGTTACATTGCCGTTGGAATCGTCGTCGAAAGGCCCCTCCCCCTCCCCGCTTTCGTCCGAATTAAAGTGTTTGTGGAGGAGCAAACGAAGGACGAGCAGGAGCAGCAGCTCCCGCAGGTGGCTGACGAGCAGAGTCCGGAAGGTGGCCAGAGTTAGGGCCAGGCTAAAGGCCTTGCAGCCCACGGAGGCGAGCAGCAGGGGATGTGGCACCAATTGAGTGGCGGCAAAGTTTGTGGAGAACTGAAAAGAAGAACACACAATGGGGAAGGTGGGGTGGGGAAAACTATGGATACTCTTTACCATTGTGGTTACAATATCCTGATTCCTCCTCAAGTGCTGCCGCCGCCTCATCAGCGTCACACCAAAGGCCTGGGGCAGCGTGCGATGCTGCAGCAGGCGCCACGACCTCAATACGAACAAGTTGGGGTCGTCCCGCAGGCGGAGGAAGTTCCGCTGGAACCGCCGCCGCTGCCGCTGCAGATTCAGGCCGATCAGGAGGAGGAGAGCCTGCAGGAGCAGGAGCAGCACTATGTAGACCAACTGGAGGCTCAGCTGCCGCCCCGTGCCGTGCTGCAGCATCAACAGCAGCCGGAGGCCGGGCAGAGCCATGAAACTCACAAAATGCAGGCCGAAGTACCGCGTGACCCTCCGATGCAGGCGCCAAATGGTGGACTGTTCGCGGAGCAGGGCCCTGAGCAGGCCCAGGCGGTCGCTTCGCATGTGCCGCCAGAGGAAGGCGTTCAGCGAGCGGTAGATGCAGGACAGCCACAGGAGATAGCTGCCGAAGAAGAGCAGCTGCAGGTGGTAGATGAAGGCCACGCCGGCTATGAAGCACGACTGGTAGAAGGAGTACATCCGCAGCTGCCACGAGAGCAGCGAAACGAGCATGACGATCGAGGCGAGTGTGTAGGAGCACTCGCGACGGATGCGCACACAGAACAGTGCCCCGAGCACCCGCTGGATCCTCCTGTGGGTCGTCGCACACTCGTTCAACAGCTCCGTGAGGTGGCGCCGCAGCAGCAGGAAGTACACGTACAGCGGCACATACAGCAGGAACACAAACGGCTCGTACGTCCAGAGCTGACTCAGCGAGAGGTAGGCCAGGCTGGCCAGCAGATTCACGAGCGCCATCAGGTGCACGTAGAGCTGCTCGTCGCCCACGAAGCGCCGCCGCTGCTCCGCATAGCCCACATTGTAGTAGCCCAAGTAGAGGCCGATCCGGCCGATTGTGTGCCACACACTCATCAAGTGGCACAGGCAGAAGCCCTCGGCGGAAGCGTGACTCTCCATCTGTCCGAATCGACTGAAACTATCTGCGGGATGGCGCCCACAAAAGTGTCCCAATGTATCTATGATGTCTAGCCATTTGCTTAAGCGTTTCGAGGCGGGGGGCAAATGGTAGATACTTTTACGGCGTATGCTTATCGATTTTGAAGTATCTTTTGCCACCCAAGGAACTTTCACAGAGATAAAAGTATCTTTTACTACTTGTAGAACGGTAGAAAAGAGCTCTTTAAGGTGGGAATTCTGTTCCACTGCTAGAAAATCTAGCGAATTGAAGCACATAGTGTACAGATACAGATACTTGTGTGAAGCGATAAGAGGAGGACTCTTTTGCTTGTGGAATGCGTATCTTAAGCGATAGGACAGCTGTTCTACGCCCTTGTGCCTCGACGAAAACGTTTTTCGATAGACTGTTATTCCTATATGGTGTTTCACTGGCATCTTTTTTCGTGGCATCTGCCCGCCCAACTACATATCCATAAAAGTAAACCCTTTATAGAGCGTAAAAACATTCAATTGAGTTGCTTAAAAAGTGTTGTACGCACTTGAACCATAAATACCAAGTGCACCTCTCTCTCTCGCCCTTAACCTCTGTCTCTCACTCCCTGGAGTACTACGTACCTGGGCAAAAAAAAGAGAGAAAAAAGAAAGATAACGACTGACAAATAATATTTTACGCTCTGTTTATTTGTGGACGGGCGGGCAACGAAACGCTTTAATAGTTTACACTCGGATGTGGCTGTGGGGCTGTGGGGATAAGGATGCCAGGGGATGTGGTGGGCGGGGCAGGGCGGGTGGCGGGTGGATATGGTTATGGATATGGATATGGTTATGAAATGGAGGAGAGCACTTAAAATGGCATAAAGCCATAAGAGGAGGTCACTTCTACCCCAAACTATCTCCCTCATCCCTCCCCCCCCCCGCATTCTGCTCCATTCTTTCGCTTTTCCTGTAAAGATACCCGTGCCCGTAGCCCATATCTTTTTTCATCGCTCGGCAAATGGTTTTACACGCATGTAACTTTTCTACGGGATACTGCCTCCCCCCTCCCCGTCCCTCCCCGATCCCCCCCCTTCCCCCCTTGATTGTCTGCATATATGAATGCACCATTCCCACTTGCCACTTGCCATTTGCAGCATGGTGGCACGGTGGCACGGTGGCACGGTGGCACGGTGGCACGATGGCTTGGGTGTGGTGTGTGGCTCCGCATAGTATAACAATCACGAAAAAAAACCTGCATGTTTTTATTACAAATTGCAATTGTGAAAAATTTTATACATGGCCGCATTGTCCCTCCGCTCCATTCGCAGCGGCAGCATCGTGTCACCAGAGCCAGGACAAGGACCAGGACCTTTATTCCCGCTGCTGCCGCACCTGCAACAAAAAGTTGCCAAGCGATGGTGAAAGGGAAAAAGGAGTTTGTTTTTTTTTTTTGGATGCCGGGCTGGCAGGCAGGAAGCCTCTTCCTGGGTTGATAGTGTCGCCCCGAAAAATAAACTGCCACATAAAATTCCTGCCGCATATCCCCTGTCGGTGTCTGTGTCGGTGCCCTTGCCACTTGCCACTTGCCACTTGCTCCACTACGGGGCGTGGCAGTTTTTTGTTCAACACTCGCGTGGCGTGCGGTATGCATAAAGCAAATGAATTTATTTTTCTCGACTGCCAGTTTTTCAATTTAAATGTTTTTTTCCCCCTTTTCGCCCCCTTTCTCTGCCTTTTTATTCGGTATTTTTCTTCCTCTTTTTTTATTGGAGTTCTTTGGTATTTTTCTGGTATATTTCTTTCGATATTTTTCTTCTATTTTCTTTTGGTTTTTTGTATTTTTATTGTAATTCCCTTTATCCAAACACTTTTTTTTTTTTGGAGCCCTCTACGATTTAGCAGTGCGCCATAAATTTTTTGCATATTTTCATTAGTTGTCAGCGCTGCTGCTTTTGATGATTTATGCATGTTTTTGATGCGCTCACTCTCTCCACTCTCTGCACTCTCTCCACTCTCTCCACTCTCTCTCCATTCTCTACACTCTCTCCAGTGCTCCTCTGCCCCTGGCTGGCACTCGTTGCCCTCCTTTTGAATGCTCTTTCTGCGTGAAAAGAATGGGCGGAGAAATGGGGGCGTGGCATGGCCATCAGCCACTGCCCACTGGCTATAACAAACCAACAAAAAAAAAACACAAAAAACACAAACAAACTTATTAAAAATTTAGTTTGGTAAGGAAAAGTTTTTAAGCTAATGAAAATTGCTGTTGCACTGTTGTCAGAATGTTGCCCGTTGCCAGTGGCCAGTGGAATGTTAAATGCGGGAACCATCTGCGGCACTGGAATATGGAAATTGGAGGAGATGGATACGGAGGGGGCAGCAGGGAGCAGGGAGCGGGCAGCAGGCAGTAGCTGGGCGGATAGAGTGATTTTTAGACAAAAAAAAAACCGAAAGGGGCACAAAAATCTTGGCAAAAAGTTCGGCCGGAAGTGGTTAGAATTTCATGAATCGGAAGATTATTTTTTTTAATTTTATATTTATATTTTATATTTATTTATATATTTATATTAATTTTTATGTATTATATTTTTATATTTATATAATTAATTTTTATATTAATTTATATACATTTTTTTTTCTTTAATTTTTTCAAATTTTGTAGAATTTTATCTGAAAACAATAAAAACTAAAATAATCCAAGTATTCTAAAAAAATAAAAAAAAAAATAGGTCACCTGGAAGGCTTTAAGTTTAGAAATAAATGTTTATTTAGGATTTAAGATCAAAATTTTTATAAATAAAAAAAAAATAAACGTTTTTTGTCAATACAGCAGAGAGCGAGGAAGTAAGAGAGAGAGAGAGAGAGAGAGAGAGAGAGAGAGAGAGAGAGAGAGAGAGAAATATGTAGAGGGGAATATTCCTTGGTTTTCAATTTTGTTTTTCGCTTTTTATTCCACGTTTTTTGTCTTTGAAGAACTGTCAATTAAAGTGATTTTCCTTAGAGTTTTCTCTTTAATGGACTCTTTCTTTGAATCCTTGGCTTCGGATTGCCTTTAAATATTTTCTTTGAGTTTTGTGTGGATCCTCGGGGTGGGGGGGGGGGGGGGGGGATACCCATTAAATGGAAGTTAATCGACAGGTAAATCATGCTCTGGAATGGGGCTTTCGTTCCATATACATAATGAGGGTCGCACCGTGTCCCCCCCTCGTGCCCCTCGTCCCCCCTCGTCCTCCCTCTCATTCCCCCCGTCCCCCTTTAAGTCGCGCACACAATAAAGCGGTCGACAGCGATATCTGCTTTGCTCTGGTGCTTAGGTGCGAAGTGGCATCTCTCCATCTCCTCCTCCTCCTCCTCTGCTCTTTCGACAGCGGCCCATCTGCCTAACGGTGATTGTGATGTTTTCCAAACGCCCACATTCCTGCCCCTCCTCCTGCCGCACGGCCAGGCCATACTCCAACGAGTGACGTCTCTAATGATTGTTTGACAAACATGCCCATCCGTAGAGCACTCTCCTCTCTCCACCTCTCCTCCCCTCCGCCTTTCTGTCTACCCGCCAGCCTCCATCCATCGGGATTCCGTAGAGCTCCGATGGCTC